CCCCCCCCCCCCCCCCCCACCCCACCCATTATAATCTAAACAAAGCATATTTGCTCAGATCTTTGTTTATTGAAATCGTTTGACAGTGCGCAGCTGTAGAATAAGATTTAACCGTTTAATTTTATCCATTTAAGTAGCGGAAAAAGTTCATCCTCACTTCTCAAGTGAAATCTTATCTACCATGTACTGAGCCTGTTTTTTTTTAAAGTAAAGGATCTGTTCCCATGGGAAGTAATGTCATGAGGACTTACCTTGCCTTTAAGAGTGTGAGATTTGAGTAAAGAGAGCTTAACACTCGTAAAAGATCCCATTAAACGTGAATGAATTCTTTCTCGGCTCGCGTAAAACGTGTTAAGTGTGACTCGAATCCCAGTGGAACCAAATTAGAGCGACATTTCCAAAATCCGTTTTTCGAATCTAGCGATTTCAAAGATGATTGATGTATTTGAAAGGATGGATGTGAGGGGGGAGAATTTGTAATCAATCATTCACGTTTATCTGTGGTTATTTGGCTTAGTTAACAGAAAATTGGTCGTCTTTTATTTGGGCCAATTAAAATATGACCGCGTATTAAATCTTTAGTAGAAACCGAAATCTAAGCTTAAATTCAATTAGATTGTAGTCATTAAGACTGCAGACTAGGTAGAAAAGTATTTTAAAAAAAAACAGGTACCTTGTATTTGGAAGTAAGACAACAAAATCTGTTATATAAATATGAAATCGTTTTGGCTTTAATCGATTAAATAGAATGGCCCAGATTTAGGCAAAAATCTTGCGGTACTCACCTACCGCAAAGATTAATTATAGAAAACCAATGTGGCAGATCTTTCTTGAGATTTTTTAAAGCTCGCATTGAGACCAGATTGCACATTGGCCATAATGCCCACTTTCTACCCCTAACCCTCCCCCCCCCCACCCTTTCTTAAACGCTTAGACAAAGGGTACCAGGTGGTGTGTAAATGGGTGCTGTTTTGAGTACTCCAGTGAATTTTGAGACATTCGGTTCTGCTTGGGTGGCATTATTGATGATCGTGTGTGGGTTCAGGCCTTAATAACCCGATCGACCATATGTCATGAATTTGAGGGAACAAATTGTCACCCCCCCCCTCCCCCTCCCCCTCCTTTCTTTTTACAAAGAACCCCGGCTTAGTGACAGGTATGACAGCCAAAAGCCCAACACCCAGTCCTCTTTTCGGTACTACTTCTGAGTGTGATTTGAGTGTGAGCCCCAGAGCGTGCTCAGGAAAATTTATAAATCTGAACGGACAATCACATTTTGAACACCTTACTACCTGCATGAACGCATTGTCCATCTCTTCTTCACAAATTTCATATAATTTTTGCTCACTGTGAAATATTAAAGTCAAACTCACCTACCCTAGAAGTTATTGCCAGCACTTTGAAGTGTTAGCTCCTAGCGAGCTATTTAGAGCCACACAATTCGTGTTGGAATATTAATTGAAGAAGTGATGTAGTGGACCCGTTAGATAAATTTTGTGTAAAAATGGTGATGACAACGACAAAGACTTCAGTTATAAATCATTTTGCTGATCAGGCGATAAAAGAGGATGCAATTAATAAATTAATTACCTTGTTTTCATACATCCCGAGAGCGCATATGTCCACTACTCGATTAGTCGAATATATTTCATTCTGACACGCGTGAGTGAACACAGTTAAAGGCCACCTGGGTAACAATCGATTTGTTTAATTATCACTCATATAAAGCTCTATCGATTTTCGTTTTAGCGAACGCTTCTTGCAAAATAATAAAATGCGATTTTCTATTGATTTTGCATTCCTCAAATCTAAATTGAATTGGAAAAACGCAATATTACCTAGCCAACAGAACCTGACATATTTAACCGTGGGATTATACGTAATAGGTTCGATGACAAAATTTTAGATTTCGAATCATGAAGCGATTTACAGCTCCTTGCATCCTATCCGAATTTTTTAAAATTATTTCAAGTGTATTTTCAATAAGGATTTATTTAAAAAATGACTTTTTAAACACATTTGACACAATTTCGTGACTTCCGAGAGAGTAATAATAACTCGCAACTACAATTTCTAGGGCACGTTTAGGCTCTAAGTGAGACGTGGAGAGATAGAGAGGAGAGTTGACAAGCGTCAACGGATAATTATTTGAAAAACTGATATTTTTCTCACGACCGAAATCGCGACTTTGTCAGTGTTTGAGTGAGAAAAAGACTCTATGTGCTCATGGTTAGGTGAGTGAATTTACTAACAATTCTGAGAACTGTGTCTTAGATTGAATGCTGCTAGAATTTAATATCAATGCTCCTAACTTGATATTTGATGAACAATAGTTAAATATGACTTACGAAATATTGGTAATTGATCCAGTTGTGTGTAAAAGGGTTTGCAGTTGTTATTGGAAGGAATTGTTAGAAAACGCTCTTGTAACGTTTCTATCTGACAAATTGGAGTTCAGTAGATTAATCTATTGTATCCATCTTCTATCCCTCCTAAAGCCTTCTCCCTCAATGGATTTGAAAAATATTTGAATTAAATATTCCAACTTTTATTCCTGTGATAGTTTATTGCGTGAATGTTTGACCAAATCACTAAATAGAGATCTGTCTGTTACCACTATCATTTTCAAGTCGATTGTTTTAATGAAAATGAACTTAGGGAATTCCGTTTTCGAATTTATTCTCAAAATGTTAAATATCCGGTTGGGGCCAATTTTGGTCATGTTCTTCACTTTGTTCTTGAGATTTGGAGATACAATAACGTGTAATGCCAATCTTTAAGAGTTAACGAATTCGTCACAAATTGTCTTGAGAAAATACCTGATTAACCGGGTGAGCAAAGCGGCTCCCTGAAAGAGATCAAAGCGAATGAGTCTGCAAAATTTCTGATACAGGCAGAAGGACGAGTAATTTACTGTGTGTAGTATGCTACTACCACTACTACAGATACTAACAATTCCAGTGGCGGTGCCTCTTTGATGTAAAATGACATCTCGAAATTCACACACACACTTTTTTGTTCACTAAACAAAAACACATCGTTGAGCACACATAGCCACTTTTAAGAAGCACACTTTAAGTTGAGTTAATTAAGCTTAAAACTTGAGTAATGCGTCCTTCACACTAGATAAAGCTTTAGAAGACGAAATCACATTCTGCGAAGAGACCCTATTGGTTCCTATCAAAGTCTTTTTGATTGACATCGACAAACATCAAGTTGTTAAAAAATTGAATCGAATTCCATAGTTAATTGTAAGTCACTTGGATATAAATGGATTATTTTGTTGACGCAATTCCTACGAGACCCATATAAAACCTCTTTAATAAAAGTTGCAATAAAAGGAAAGAAAGCGTAATAGGATTATTTCAGTAGCATAGATACGCCATGTGGATGCAAATTGGGTATCTCCTTTCGTATCGTGGGTGGCCAAATAAAGCAAATCCGATTTCCCTTTTAATAGGATTTAAGGTACAGTTCGTGGGTAAGATTCCGTTAATGTTACTAATCGATATAATTCATTTATCGCCTCCAAAGTCTGCAAACTGGAGTTATAGTTCAGATGGGGGAAAAATCGATAATTAGTTATAAGCATTATCTCAGATGTAATAGGCTTATTTGCTTGTAACGAATCCACAAGAAGAACCTTTGTAATCAACTTAGAGAGGATGTCAAGATTCTTGTTTCTTTTCAATTGATTTATTCACTTTTTCAAAGGGGTTAGGAATTAATGTGCAAAGCTTTCTGAGTGGGTTGTATCCAAAATCTGCTGACTCTGCTGATAGTCTTTTGTAAGCTATGATTGAATAGACTGAGCTAGCACAAGTATCTAAAGCCATTATAAATGTGCATTCACTGAAATTTCCTGCAGAGCTTCTATATGTACCGCAATAAATCACCAGTAATAAAAGGTCCGCTATTTGACCATTTATCCAACTGTAATATTCAACTTGCAAAATAATTCATTTTCATTTATTTTTAGTTTGTTGCCCAATTTGCCATGAGGATCTTAATTCGAAGGATCTCTCCGTCCATATTTCCCTGGAATTGGAAGCTCTGGATGAAGAGACACAGAGGTTAGTCTAGGTAATATAAAAAATGGATTTTTTAACGCATAAACTTGCAAGGAACTCCCGAATCTTCGAATTAACCGAATGATATAATGATCTTAGCAGGGAATTGATTATTACTAAACAATTAAGGCGAAATAAACTTAAACGAACATAATTATACTATTCAGTATTATTAAGTAGGTAAAATATTTCATTTCGATTCACTTTTAGACTGCAAAATTGCCGATTTGAGCGAAATCTCTATGAACGATGTGTAAGTGGATATTAGTATTGAGACAAGTAGATTTTAAAATATTTTTTAAACGATGATATGTTTAATTTAGATGAATTTCAACAACAGAGGGCTTTTTGACCACATTTCAAGTAGTCAGAGATACTACAAATTCCAAATGGTGAAGGAACGTCGATTAGCCAGGAAAAGTAAGTCGAATTTACTTATTATAATTCATACGTAAAAAGTTTACAATCTAATATAACTATTATTCCATGCTATAAAGCGTCTTAATATTTCATGGGGTATCAATACTTACTGCATGCCTTTTCGGCCTTAGGAAATCTAACTTACATCAAACCTCAAGAGGAGTACAGTCATAGCAACCAGCAGTCTTTAAAACTACCTCACACACTTGAGAGTGGTTTCCCACTGTTTCCGCCCCAACTAGTCTCTAACATCCCCACCAAAATTCGCCGAATCGACAAGTGATCTTGGACGCTTCCTGTCAGACCATCGTTCCCTCTCTCCCTCCGGCCGCCCCCCCCCCCCCCCCCCCCCCACCCCCCAACCAACCAATCATTAATTCCTCTACAATCGGCAGTAATATTGTATACTTACCTGCATTATATAATAAATCCTGCAAAAAAGAAACATTCGGATTTTTGTTGAGTTAGTTTAGCTCATTTATACGATTTGGTATTTTATTCATTGGTGCCTTTAAATACAGTTGAAAAACCCTACACACGTACTTTATCTCAAAGGAGAGTCATTACTAGTTAGTTGCCCGATTGAAGGGGGGAAGAAGTATCATAAAACTGATGGAAAAATAGCATTTGCTCTACGCATCACGAAGATAAGCTAATGACGTGTCACATTTTCTCTCAACTTTGAATAAGTCGTCATCTAGTTGGAAATGCAGTCAAAGTACTCGATTTATTTGAAATGTTAAAACTTAGGATACTTTTGTAGTGGATTGCTACACTAGTAAAGCCGGACTGACTCAGAAATCTCTATGGCAGATCCTCCAACATCTAGCCAGACTCCCAGAACCAGCTAAGCTATAACCCAGCTATGAAGAAAACAGACGTACAGCACGGAACACGTTCATTCAGTAAGTACATTGTTGATAAAGTGTACATGCAGGAGCTTAGTCATAATCAGGATGGCGATTAGGTTAAACAAACAGAGGTTAATGATTGGTCACTGTTTGTACGGTCGCACCTCCCAATCCTGGCGTGCAGGCATGCGATGACGTAGCACCTCCCAATCCTGCCGTGCAGGCATGCGATGACGTGTCCCATCTCCCAGTCCTGGCGTGCAGGCATGCGATGACGTGTCCCACAAGGCTCGTTAATAGATGACGTTCCCACGCTTTGTTTTAATATTAAAGAAAATTTTTCTGATTATATTGGAAAAAATTAATTCTTCGAGAAAGTGACCTTATAGTCCATTTCGCGACTAAATAAATGCTGTAAATTAGCTTATAATGAATACACAAAACTACTACCACATTTCCTATTTCTAGGATCCTTGAAGTTTGGAGAGAGTCGACCACCTGAAATGCTTTATGAGTTTCTGCAAGCTTATATTGTTAGTTGGGGAAGTGCGATAGATTTACCTCCACGTGGTGCACCCTGGGCAACGTATACTCATACGGCAAAAAAGTCTATTAGCCGACAGTTGACTTCTGGCTTCTAACTACTATGACCCGACACTATGTCATATTTTAACCTCTTTCACAGTACTCACCTTACCTTTTTCTCTACCTTTGTGTCTGTCTATCTCTTTTGCAACCTTGAATCACTTTTCTGTTCTGCCTCTCGAATTTTTCTCACTTTGATGTTCCCCCTCCTCCTCTCTGTGAAGCCCGAAATCAGCTAAATGGCTAATGGTAACTATCATAAAGCCTGCCATTTGAAATGAATAATAATAATTAAGTTCATTTTCGAGTTCCTAAAATTAATAATAGACAATGCCGTATTTTATATGGTTTTAAGAAGTTTTGGCATCATCATTCCCTATTCAACTTGTACTTAGTCTTCCTTAATAATTGACTGCTAATACTTTATTCCCATGGTGTTATCGTGCAGGCTACTTCGGATGTGATTCATAACTTGTTACTGGAATATTGGCTCTTGAGGCCAATGAACAATAAGCAATATGATACACACTTTATGGCGA